ACTAAAATGTTTATATAATATCATTACGATATATAATATAAATAATTTTTTTATATTTAAATAAAAATATTGTAAAGTTTAATTATTATGATTAAAAATTATTTTATTATCTAAATAATAATAATCTTATGAAAGTTAAAAAATTATTTAAAGTTTAATTTAGATAAGCTGAAAAAATATTAAATCATATAATATATTAATATTATATGATTTAATATTTTTTTGGCTTAGATTGGATTATGGAGGTAACTTAAATAACTTCATAATCTGCTAGTAATTTCATAACATAATGGTAACTTCATAGTCTACTGGTAACTTCATAACATAATGGTAACTTCATAATCTGTTGGTAACTTCATAATATGATAGTGATTTCATAATCTAATTTCACGATCTGCTGGTAACTTCATAACCTACTATTCATAATTTGATAATAACTTCATAACCTACATATGGGTAGCTTCTTTGTATTATATCATTGTTTCAATTATTTTCTATATATTATGGTGATGATTTTATAGTCTAATAGTGGATGGTGATGCTTTAATTTAATGATCTAATGGTAACTGCTTTCTTCTTATTCCTAATTAGTTTACATTGTAAATTCTACATTGTTGGTATTGGCTTTTCATTCTTATTTAAATGCCTGGTTCCTTATTGGGGATACTGACACTTTGTGCTTATTTGGTTGCTAGTTTTATATTGAGAATTTGCGCCTATTTGGTTGCCTTTTAAAATACTGAAATGGTGTAAAAAAAGAAGTGACAGGTAGCACAGTATATTTGCAATTAATTTCAGGCAATACTATGTCTTAATTCTGGCTAATCTTTAGAGCATGTGATTCAAAGATCCAGCTTGGCATTATGACAGTGACCTGATAGTATCCTAGAACTGTCATAGAACTGGTGAGAAACTAGCAAAAAGCTAGTATGCTTCTATTAGTTCACCAATTCTGAATCAGTTTTATACTAGCTTAGGTACCGAGTTATTATATCCAAAGTTCTGGTCAAAATTATGGAATAGTACTGGCTGACATTATTGTAAATTTACTACGCTTACTGTGTCACAATCACATGATACTATTCAGTGCCAGAATACCTCACATAGTTACAGGCTAGTGGTGAGAATGTTCTGAAAATATTTTTAGAACCCAATATATATGCCAATTTCACATCTGAGGTTAGAAGTGTTATATATATTTCTTGATCAGCCTATTTTATTATTGAAAGTGCACCATCTTGTAATCCAACTATTGTCTATTTGTTGCTGACATATTAGCAAGATGTTATAAGCTCATTTAAGACCAGATCATGGTCTAAACTGGGTTGAAGCAATGAGTGTGCCATTTTGAGTGTTCCTATAAAAATTCTCTGTCCCTATAAGAAAAATTCATGAGAACGCTCATAAGGATAATCTCAATATCATTTTTGGGCTTCTTAGCTTAATTTATTGAATTCTTTACTACTTGTCCTTATAATCCTATGAGTCTCTATGAAAAATAAAAGTTCTAGGAAAAAAATTCAATTGTTCTATGGTACCCTTATAAGTAAATATAACGTATATAATTGATATACTGTAATTGGTATATGGTCGATATATGGTATAAAAAAAAATAAAAAGGTAAAGAGTTCAGAAATTCATAGTAACTTATAGGATTATAAGAACAAATAGTAAAATGGCCTTCCTAGAGTTCTAAAATTGCCAGTTTGCTATACTAACAGTGTCCTTATTAAGTTTTTTTGCCATCCCTATAAATTTTTCATGAGGCCAAATTTTTGATAAGTTATTAGGACCAACTTATAACATTAGGTATTTTCATTCTATCAAAAGCCTGACTCATTGCCTCTAGGGTTTGACAGTTCTGAAACATCTTATACAACTTTTTTTGATGATAATATGTGTTTGAGTGATACTTTTTTACATGTCAATCACAAAATCCATATTCAGAAGCCATTGGTCTTTCACATTTATCTTGTTTGCATAGAGGTCGCTGGCATCTTTTCTAGTGAATATAACATCCTTCTGGTTTTTTACTTTCCTGCCTATAAACCTTCCCTTCATTGGAATGATACTGGTAAATGTATTTACTGCCCATTGATATTATTCTTAGATAAATAAAACTTTGATATCTATAATTATTTATTTTTATTTTAAACTTTTTTATTAGGGTATTATACTGAAACACATGTCCTTAAGTCAATTTTCTGGATTCTCTTCAGGATGACCATAAAATATTAGGGTCTGTATCTTACCATTCCTGATATATTTAATGGATTATTTTGTAATGCTAAAATTTCTCCCTATAAATTAAATATTATTTGACATTCTTCATGTGTTTTATTTTTCCACTTCTCATATCTATCAAAAAGCTGATCTTGATTATATTCTAATATCACCCCATCACCTTGACATTTATGTAGTTGAGCTTTCAGTTGTCAATTATTTCTTCTTGTATTAACCCATAAATCTTATGCTATCCTAGCCTTGTGGATCTGAAATCGAGAAATGAAAATAAGATAAGTATTTTCTCAAAGTAATCTGGCTTTCTTTTATTTTAGCCAGTCATTAATAACTCCTATATCTTCATCATAGGATGGAAAATCTGGCATAGAATCTTTCTTCCCATCTATAATACCCTTTAAATCACCTAAATCTCATCATCAAATTCTAAATGAGAACTTGATATTTCAGGAGGAGGAGAAGAACTTTTGCTATATTTAACTTGTGTTAATTCTTAAACCTTTTTTTCATAGTATTAGCAAAGCCTATAGCCTTTAAAGTTTTCTCATGCTCTTTTTCTAATAATTGGCAAACCTCTTGGGGAGATAAGTTTTCTTCTGGCTCTACTGGAGGCAGTATTAAAGATAGAATACTAGCCGATAAATTATCATCAAGTTGCTCACTCAAATTGTGATGATATCTAATAGATCGATCAAATTCTTCTTGTAATGTTCCAATAGAAACTCTCTCACTAGAGAAGCCATCAGAAAGTGATTGAGGCTTTTCTATTATTCTAGTAAGATCCTTTTGTAATATTTCATTTAGGGTTTTCACATCTTCTAAAGCATTCTAAATTCTTTATTACGCTTAGCTATTGTTCTTTCAGCTTGTAAAAGATTGTTTTCAAGATTTTTTAACCAATCCTGAACTCTGTATAAATTTATTTTATTATCAGAAATACGCTCTATTCATTTTAAACGGTTTACTCAGATAGTAGCATGATAATTAATTTTTTCACATTCATCTATTCCATATGTATGGTCTTATATTTCTGATGCATCAGAAGCTATATTGCTTGATAGAGGCTGATTATAGTCCAATTGCCTTGATGATGATGAAGATGATGAGGATGATGAAGAATCTCTTGTTAATAGTATTGAAAGTATATCACTTGATGAGGCCATGATAAGATCACTAATCCTATATTTTAGCCAATGAAGCTTAGATAATTCTTCCGATATTTGATCTTCTCAAAAAATTATAAATAGCAATCTACACTCTACAATCTTTTCCAGATTATGGATTTTTATCTCTAATGCTGTTATCTGGCTTTTAAGATTAGATATTTTCAGCTCTGAGATCTCTTTTGTATTATACAATCGAGATATCTCTAGCTTACTATGATATAAATCGTGTTTTAGAAATTGTATTCAATTCTCATATACTTTATTTTCAGACATCAGCGTTGTTCTATCTTCTTTTTTATAGATAGTTCTATCTTTTTGAGAGATGAGAAAAGGATGAGTAAAGAAGCAAGAGTTCTTATAATTCAAATAGATCCTAATAAAGTCTAAAGAATCGAAAAAATATTATATTGCGTGATATATATTATTGCCTAACTGGGTATTATTCTAATTCTAAATCCTTAAGAGATGCATGTAAAAAAGGGCATCATTTCCGCTTAAAAAAATGTCATGATTTTTTAGAATAGCAACATATATACCAAATACATAAAATTCCCCTGAAGAATATTTCTAGATGTAGCTATAGCTGAATAACACGTCCAAATTGCGTATACCAATATGATTTGTTATTCCTTACACATGATCATTATAAGCGTAAAAAATATATAGCAGTATTTAATATAATAGACTGTGTTTTTCAATATAAGACTTCTGTTCCACTTACATCAAAGAAGAGTTCAGAAGTTGCTAGAGCATTTAGAAAATATATGATTATACTAATAATCCACTTGTATGACCAGAGCTTCTACAATGTGATGGAGGTCGTGAATTTATGAGAAAGACTTCTCAATTAATGAAGGAGCATAATGTTACTATTCAAGTGATTAGTGCATATTCTTATTGAGAAGTAGTTTTTCTAGAATGTTTTAACCATACACTCACAAAAATACTTTATAAAATCCAAGATGCTATTAAATCTATATATCCCAATACGAAATTAATAAAAATATGGGTTAGGCATTTGCTTATAGTTATTGATTATCTAAATAATTATTCTACACGTCTCATTCGAGAACCAGGAACTAAAAAATGGGGTTTGCACCTATAAAACTATCATGTTAGAAAAAGTAAAATCGAGACCATTCACAAAATATAAGCATCCAATTGGGAAAGATGAAATAACGTTAAAGAAAGGTAATACTATTCGATATCTTTTTGCTATTGCAGAATGGGAAGGAGGAATGGAGAATCAAAAGAAGACTACTGATCTCATATACTCACCTTCTATTCATAAAATCCAGAAAATTATAATAATAAAGAATGAGCCAGTTTTATATTATTTGGATGGAGAATTTGCATCATCTCGCGGGTTTGTGCAAGAAGAACTCATGTTAATAGTTGATTCAGAAAAGTATATTATCCGTAAATTTTGTTTATGCTTCTCCTATCAATAGTGAGTTAAACCAAGCTATTGATTATATTCAAAGACGTGGTGGTCAATGTCTAGGAAAGACTGGAGAAATAAATAGACATATTATATATCTTTGATTTTGTGAGAATGACGTACATCAATGGGAGTATCCATTAAAATATATTATGAAGAAATTTGAGTGGTGTCCTCTTTGTCATCATACTACTGAAAGAAATGTACTATATATTTTTGAGAATCTGCTAGACAAAAAATTTCTATTTTGTAGACCATCATTTTTGAATGAAATGCAACTCGATAGGTATAACGAAGAACTACAACTAGTATTTGAATTTGATGGTCAGTAACATTATACTCTTAATTCAATGTTCTATAGGAGAGGGGATATAGATTTGGAGGAACAAAAATCATAAGATCAGAAGAAGCGGGATATATGCAAGGAGCAAGATATATGTCTTATCAAAGTTCCCTATACAGCTAATCTCCTATCCTATATCAGACATACTCTAATCAAGAAATGATTCTTGAAAGAAGCGAAGAATTAAAAGGGATTATTTTTAATATATTATTAATAATACTCCATTTGATATGAAAATAAATAAACATGAGCTGATTGATAGGCTTGTATATCATATCGACAAGATTAAAGATGCCAAAAAATATAATGAACATTTGAGTGTTTCCCAATAGCCTTTCAATTTACTAATATGTGGCTATACTAATTCAGGAAAAACTAATGAGGTTCTCAATCTCATGCTCAGAAATAAGCTTTATTGAATGTTTAATGGGAAGAAAGGAGTGACACACTTATCAAGTGTGATGATTTACTACTCATCGGTCATAATTTCAATGAGCTAAATATAGGTATCTCAAATCAGTCTATCAGATAATTGCAAATAGCCCAAAACTATATTGTGAAGATATTATATTTTGAGCAATAAAACCTGATAAAATCCCTAAAATGGATTTATTTTCTCCAGATAGAGGTACAGTGCCTATATTCGAAGATGTATATGCTGATCTGAAAAAAGTGCAGGAGAAGATCATTCCTTATTTTGTTAAGGGACGCCATTATAACATCAATTTGATATATGGGAGGTTTGCTAGGAAAATGAGACTCAAAGTATTTTTTATTAAAATTTTAATTTTTATTGCATTTTAATGTTTGATAATGTTAGATTAAAATGCAATAAAAATTAAAATTTTAATAAAAAATGATCAGAGCCCCATTTTCCTAGCAAACCTCCCATATGTATTCCAGGGTTATTTTGATTGCCCAAAAATAATACGAAAAAATCTCACATGTGTCTGCCTATTTAATGTGTCGTGTATTACAGATGAGCTAGTCAGAATTGTGTGTTAATATGCTAATGATTGGCGTAGAAAAAATTCATTGTTTTTAATCTAACTGTATCTCGTGAGCATCTACACAGGATATAGGTCGGTTAGGACCAAATTCTTGAAAAAAGTGTCTTAACTAATGAATAAAATCTGACTTTATAGATGCTAGCTCTTTTTCTGCCTCCTATACTTGCATTTTCGGATCCTCAATCTTGTAATGTAATATCTTATTTGCACTAACCCTTTTTCTATAATTATTATAAATGTCTTGTATCATTTTTCCAAAAGTCTTTCTATTATAGTCAAGCAGATGTTGAGAGAAGACTTTAAGTTCATTCATAACTCTGTGGTTATTTTCTTCCTTGAGATTATAAGGGATACCATCAGTTTGAACTTCACTATCTAAAACACATACTGTACATATGATAATACTGGAAATATATCACATTCTGGCCAACTTTGAGGATATAGTAATTTTTTCTGAGTCAAATTTTTGCATTTCCTATTTAATGAATTCTCATAAATCTCTAATATGCGTCTTAAATAAGATTCAATTCGTTTAGACTTTCCAGAAATAGATTCTAATGGAATAGGATCATCTCTTGTATCTTTAGTATTGCGGAAGATAAAACAACTGTTTAGTGAAATATTTTTTAGAGTTAATATATAAAAATAATTAGAAAGCTTTTTTTTTGAAGATCTTTGATTAAAGGAGGAATATGGTATTAGGAAACATTTTAAGCTGTCTCAAACGCTCTTGCTTAAGTTATGTTTGCTTATAAGAAATAAAAAATTCGCATGATTTTGGACGATCTAAGAACGCTGAAATTTTACTAAGAAATAATCATTTTTACCAGGAAAAAAAATATGTGAATAGTTATACATATTAATTATCTATGCATTTTTTCGTACAGAATTGAGATATCATGTTCGTGGTCTAGGACCTTTCAGAGAAAGGGATCAAGTATCAAATTGTGTTTTATAATTTGAGAAATACTTCAGTTCAGACACATTTGCATTATGCTGAATTAATGTAAAAGGCTTTGGTAACAAAGGAGAAGGAACCTTATTTGCCTTAGACATGATATTTTCAGCAGATAATAGTTGCCATAAAAGTCTGTTGGCTAATTCTTATCGTAATTATTTTTCAGCCAATTCTTGTTACAATTGTCTTTTAGCTAATTCTTATTGAGATTGTCTTTTAGCTAATTCTTGCTGAGATTGTCTTTCAGCTATCTCTTGCTATAACTATTTTTTGATTAATTCATGATAGACTAGTCTATCAGACAATTGGCGTCTCTTATGCTCAGAATAACTTATATAATTATGAAGTTGATCTTGCAGAACATGATAAGATTTATATCCTCCATCAATAAAATACTATACAGTCGACCCCCTCTATAGTCACCTCCTATATAATCACTCACCTTCTTTAGTCACATTATAGTTCAGTTTCGATTTTTTAAATAAGAAAATACCCCTTTTATAATCACATAATATATATAAATATAATCACATCAATTTTTAGTCCC